TGTCCAGAGAAAGCGTTAAATCCGTTGTGAAGGCCTGCACAACCTGTCAGTCGATCGATCCGGCACCCGTTCACTGGGAAAGAGGAGAACTGAGCGTGAAGAGCAACTGGAGCAGACTGGCAATGGACATAACTCACTACAATGGTGAGAATTTTTTAACACTCATTGATTGCGGTCCCTCCAGGTTCGCGGTATGGCGGCTGCTGCGCAGACAAGACGCGAGCACCGTCATTCGACTGTTGGAGAATGTTTTCCTGGAGCGAGGCCCACCCATGGAAATACTGACGGATAACGCATACTGCGTTCACCAGTAAAGATTTTAAAGAATTTGCGGACACTTGGGACGTGCATCTGCGTTTTCGATGTGCCTACTCGCCAGTGGAAACGGCATCGTGGAGCGGAACCACAGAACCATCAAGACCATCGCAGCCAGGAAGGGCTGCACAGTTTCGAAGCGGTTTACTGGTATAATGTCGCCCCGAAGGATAACATTTCACCATCCACGGCGCCGGCTGATGCACTGCACAAATATCATGTCCGGCGTGAGGGGCATCGAAGCCAACCCGCTGCCTGAACTAGAAGTGACTGGAGGAGATTGAAAAAAGGAGACATCGTTTGGGTCAAAAACCCACGCGGCAAGTGTACGACAAAGTGCGGCACTGGACGTGTTACGGAGGTTATCAGCCCGCAATCTGTGAGAGTTGATGGGGTGCCTCGTCACATTAAAGACTTGCGACCGGTGACGCAATCACTACCGCTACCGGCGATGAAAGCGATTCGAGTCTGGGAGTAGTGAGCGTTCAATCTGCCTTTGAGTTAGACCTGCAGGGCAGCGATTCTGATAACAGCAGCCTCCCGGCGGACACAGTGTTTACCGACACTCAAACCACAGACGAGAACACGCACGAGGATGAAGCTTGTGTTATCCCCTTCGGAGAGGGACTCGACGGCGACGATCGCCACCTCCCTGCCCTGTTTGTGATCATGAGATCAGGGGAGTGTGGGGAAAATTGTGAAAATGGCCTACCTCGAAACGCGTTCGAATCTGCGCGGTATGTAAACACTGGTCCTTCCAACTGTAAAAAAGAAAACCAAAATGGCGGCGCCCGCGTTTTTGCCCGAGTAGTCTCGGTCAGTTAACGTGAAATCTCGTTGCCTCGTGATTCGCATGCAAATCGTGGTCGGTCCGCAGCTGTATAAAAAAAAAGCAGGCTCGTTTCTGCTGTTTCAAAGAAAAGGCTTTCGGCTCGTGAGAAGGTTGGACGTGCGACCGGTTTTTCTTTGTACCTACCTGCTATCACCAGTTGAATTGTTGAGTTACACACTTCATAGTCATAATATGAAATATTTTTGTAACAGAAAAAGAAATTTGGTTTGGTTTATTTTGTTTTATGGCATATCAACCTCTATGGGTAATTTAATGCTGACAAAATTTTCATTGTTGGTAATATTTTTTTCAAAAAATTTATTTCTAATAATATTTTTTTCCTTCAAAAAATCTACTTCTGGTAATAATTTTCCTTCACAGGTAATATTTTTTTTCAAAAAATGTATTGCAAAGTATTTCTGGTATTAAAACCTATTTTTACACTTTCATAGTGTTTTGACCCCAGTTTGGGGGTTAACTATTTGCCTATAGCTGGTACCCTAACAGGTGCTACTACCTCATGTCAGGGTGGACCTGGGAACACCAGTAATTAAGAGGTGGTTCCATGCTCCTCAAAGCCTCCTGTACAGAGGCCTTGCTGTTGGACGTAGTTTATTGTTTTACCCAGGACATGGTAGTTTATTGTCATACCCAGAACGGAAAAGAAGTTTGTATTTAATAATATCCACAATATGGTAGTATAATAGCTACTGGATTAAATAATATTGTTTATTTTGAATAATGCTGCTTGGTAAAATGTCTTTAAAAAACAGTAACAAAACTGTTTGTTACTGAACATGTGAGCAGTGACAAACTATTAAAGAAAATAGAAACTTATACATAACATCTGGAAGAGACAGCTGAAATTTCTAGGGCACATAATGAGAAAAGAGGACTTGGAAAATCTGATACTCACAAGACTGATTGAAAGCAAGAGGGACAAAAGAAAATAACACATAACCTACTTAGTGAGTGTGAGTGAATAGATGGCAGAACAAGGTTTAAGAGAAATAACAAAAAGATAAAATTTATGAAGAGCTATGAAGGACAGAAAGTTGTGGAGAGCCATGATCACAAACGTACTGCAGGAACAAAGCACATAGAGAAGGAGAAGAACAAAACTGTCATCATACAACAGGCTTCTAAGGATTAAAAATTGCAAGAGATTTCTAGAAAATCCAAAGTGCCGCTATGTACAAGCAGTTCAGGCCAAGATGAAAAGCAAACAACTTAAATCCTTGGAGTTCTGGAAAATTTCCAACCAAATTCTCAATAGGGGCAAAGTGTCAGTGCCTACTATCACAAATGACCCTGAGGTTATCTCATCCTCACCAGATCACTATGATCTAATTCTACATTAGATGACAAAGGCCACACACTTCCTAACTCATCCTCTCTTATGGAGCACAAACTTAGTAATTTCTATCACAGACTGAAGACTTATTAAAACCTTGATTCTTAGAAAACTACACGTCCAGATAAAATCTTGGCTGTTTTTCTTAAGAATATTAATTAACCCTGGGTTATCCACGGTCTGAAGGAGAAGTCTTTCCCAAGTCTGTGGAAGGTGTCTGTTTTTAAGAATGTGGATGAGTGCTCATCCCCCATCTCATTATTGGCCCATCAGCTTCTTTAGTATCATCAGCAAACTCTTTGAGGCGGTAATCAACAAGAATGTTGTGGTTACCTCAGCTAGGACAACCTTTCAATCTACAAACAATACTGATTTCAATCAGCTCAACCCACTGCTGATATCCTATCATTGCTAACAGAAGAGGAAATACATATCACAAGGACAATCACAGATATATGGAAAACACTTGACAAGGTGTGGCATAGAGGATTGCTGCACAAACTCTTCAGCTTTGGAATCATTGGAAAAGTCTCCAATTATCAAGTCCTTCCTAACAGGTAGATCCATGAAGGTAGTTGTTAATTGCCCGTCCTCCAAGGCCCATGAGACTAATACAGGCATCCCGCAAGGGTCACTTCTCAGTCCAATTCTTCTTCTGCTGTATATTAATGATCTGCCTAAGAGTATACTCTAATCTTTTGTGTATATTTATGTAGATGATACAACAGTATATGGATACACCTCAATGGGGCAGGGGCGGGGGGGGGGCGGTGGAACTGGCTGTTCGCATTCAATACTTTAAAAACCAAACTAGTAAAGTTCCATCATCATCATCAAGCAGACCCTAAATTTTCATCTATTGCAATTATCAGGCCAGGGAGGGGCCTTTTAATTGCAATAGATGAAAATTCTCTGAGGGAGGCCTCATTGCCTTGAATGTCAGCTAAATCTTAAGCTCGAACCAGACTTCAAGTGGAACTTGTGTATACGATCAACCACTAAAGATGCTGGAAACATGTTTGGTTCCCAGTACCACTTCAGTAAATACCCGACTCAACCTTTACAAGTACCAGATCAGGCCAAAAATGGTGTACTGTTGCCATTTAGGTCATATCATACACTCTCATACTAGAGTGATTGACACTTTGTTCAAAGGCTGAAGTGACAATTCATGTATACAGGCTAAAAATGAAGTACTTTTGCCATATATGAGCAGGAACTGTCCTGTCTTCACTCTCAAGCTCCTTGCTACTCTATCACTATTTCCTATGGAAAATGTTAAGACAAAATATATTTCTTAGTTCCACCAGTTTTAATCTTCTCATCTGGCCTATCTCCCATGCCACGTACACACAATGCAGCAAACCACACTTATTAACTTTGTATTCCATCAGTGAGAACTTCCATTTGAATAGTTTTCTTTCATGTTTGGTTTGGTATTTCTTCCATGAACTGCTACCTTGTGGAATCAACTCCCAAGGTGATGCTTACATGACCACTACAATCTTAACCTGTTCAAGTCAAGCATTAACCCTTATCATTCTCACATATCATAAACTGCACCTCTTACTCTTATCATTCACACAACCTCCTCCTTCAGTATCCCTCTACCCTGAGTGGCTCTTTGGCCTTGTATACGGTGAAAATTAGTAAAAAAAAAAAAAGAAAAATCATTTCCAATATATGGGAATTACTAGAGAATTCGAATAGCAACTTGAAAATTACAATAAAAACAAAAAATTACAATAAAAAGAAAAAAAAGAGACTTGTCAAAAATTAATAACAAATCAGGCATCATTTGCACAAGTCCAGTAAAACTGACTTGAAAACCAAATTCAAAACAAAGTCAACATTTTTATCACATTTTTTTTCAACATGGACTTACATATGTCAAAATGTTGTAGAATAAATATAAAAATGACTTAAGATATATGATGTAATGTGTCAATGCGAGCACTTATATGCCAGGTATGCAAAACGAGTGAAGGAAAGGAAAAAGAAATAGGGCCACCCTAACACCTTAATTTAAGAAAGACACGGTCTTGGAGCTAGGAGAATTGGTGAGAGTTGTTGGGCATATGCAAATTTTTTGCGAGATCAGTTCCGCATAATAAACACCACGCAAGGGAGAATAGAATGAGATTTTAAGAAATGCTAATTAACAATTAATTATAATTGTCAATGCTACATCTAAGTACTTCAGATAATATTTTACTTTGTGATACATAAACAGTGATGACATAGAATTGGTGAGGCCACTGCCCTGAATAGACAGGTCCGGTGAGGAGAAGGAAGACAAGTTCAAATTTTGCCAATCTGCAGGATATACTAATGTCTGTAGAATGACAGAGTTGTACTAAAAAGCAGCAAAAATGAAAAAAAAATGTAAGAAATTCACAGAATATTATTACCATTTTAACAACATTGTTAAGATTTTCTTTACAAACAAAAAAAAGAAGTAAAAACCATTAAAAGATTAAAAACAAAATGAATATTTACTTAAAAAGAGAACGAGGTATGTTGCTTGTGTTGGCAAGGGTTGATAAAAGGAATCTCTCTTGTTTAACTGTGACTTGTTCTCCTCGTATTTCAACCATGACAACAGGATACCCCATCTGCTTTGTCCAAGTGTCCATGATGGTCTTTACATCCAAACGGTCACCTTCTGATGATGACTATGAAAAGAAATCACAAAATATTTGCTTTCAGAATTGAAAATAAAAGAATAAACAACCAACCTAATGACTAAAATAATCTTTGGATAAATGTGCAATACAAACTGGGCATCTAGCTAATGTAGCCTTGTCCCAAACTAAATTTTAGTATATATGTAGTGAGCTTCAAACATTAAGTTATGGTTAGTAGGCTAGTCTTACAGACGATTACTAATCTAAGGAATTTATTGCATACTGAATACTTGATATATTCAGGTGCTTGGTAAATAGTTACCTACAATTAGGTCTATTTAGTCAAAACAAGTGTCACAAGATTTTTCTTTATTTAAGCCAAATCTTTCCCCTTCAAAATCACTATTTATATTTATCCATATATATATATATATATATATATATATATATATATATATATATATAGAGTGTGTGTGTGATGGATAGTTATTATTGTTGTCTAAATTATGCAAAAATTAAAATAATACTTACATCTCATTTTAACAGATATATTTACCAAAATTAGACGAAAATATTTTGAAATAACAGAGACTAAATCTATTCAATAAAACTGCCATTGGCTTCAACCGCAGACTTCAGACAACTTCAGAATCTCTTGCAACTCTTCTTTGTACTATTTAGCATTGTTGAATTATTGCTAACATTTTTTCTTGATTTACAAAATCTACATTTCATTCAATTTCATTTCAATTTCCCTAACCAATCAATGAAATTTAAATAAGCTGATTTGTTTGGAAAAATACTTTGACAAAAACCCTACTTAGTGGTTCTTATGCACCCTAGTAAGATAATGAAATTAATAATTACTATAATAATAAACTAGATAAAAACAGGTATATAAGACTAACTACTAACTCCTTAACATCTACTATCCAAAATAACTTATCCAATCTTAACAATATCAAAATAATTACAACCACATCCTAAACTATTTATGCATGTGAAGAGAAGCCCAAATAACTAGAACAATAATAATTTTGAAGCAGGTATACAGGGTGCGATGGATAAATTGTCGTCTAAATGACACAAAAAAAATGAAAATAACACTTACATCTAATTTTAACAGATATATTTACCAAAATTAGACAAAAATATCTTGAAATAATAAAGAGTAAATCTATTCAATAAAAATACCATTGACTTTCAAATATTTTAACCGTTTTGGCAACAGTAAACTGGCTCACAGGTTTTAGTCATCAACAGCTGTAGGTTTTTATTCACAGCCACCAATAGCAGTGGATTTTTATTTATAGTCATTAACGCAAGAGGCTTTTTATTCCTAATCACCAAGTTACTTTGGATTTGTATTCTTAGTAACCAAGAGCAGTTGCTTTTTGTACCATGTTACCAACAACAATGGCTTTTTTTTTCCTTGGAGAAACAAAGTCAAATATTTTCTAAAATATATAAATTTTATTAAAAAAAAAGATTGAAATTTAAAGATGACAAAGAGTCATAGAGATTTGAATATTAAAGAAATGATTCTGGTTGAAATGTTTGTAACTTATTTATTTATTTGGTTGAAAGTAAAATTAAAATTTGAGGGGAATATAATTTAGAACCAATTTTTTTTTTTGTTTTAAAGTTAGAACTTGAGATTTTCGACATTAGATTTCTCTCGATGTTTCACATTTTAGTGATTAAATAACAACTTTTTAGCAAAAAAAAAAAAAAAGAATTTTTGAGGATTATGTATTTTTTAGTGATTGATTATTTATTTTGAATTTGTTTTCTTTTGTGATTGGTTCTGATTATTGATCTTCTACAAAAAGTAGGAAACACTGTTGAAAATTTTTTATTAAAAAAAAAAAAAAAATCACATTTCACTAGAATCTTACCCCAGACATAGCTTCCCACAAGTCATCCGTTTGTGCATTCTTGTAGGCATATTTATTCAGGTAATTATTGAGTCTTTTCTCAAAAACAGCTGACCCCAGAAAATGGCGCATCATTCGAATGATCGATCCACCCTGAAAATAGATTCACATTTTTATCTGGTCAACAAAGAAAGTGCATTCTTTTCAAAATCTTTATATGTTGGAGTTTTTAAAAGATAATGTTAGTGAAATATTAATTAAGACTTAGAGCAGGTGATTATTGGCATTTCAGAAAATCTATAAATCAAGAGAAATTATGGAATAACACTAGAATTTGATTGATTTAACACACACACTCACACTCACACATACATACATACATACATACATACACCCTTGTGCAAATTAATTGAAACAAAATGAATAATTCCATTATTATTTACTTTTTTTTCATATTTTTCCAATGAAACATGACCCAGTGCACATGTTAGTACTTTGTATGTCCATTCCATGAAGAATTTCCTTCCAGATTGGCCACAGATTCTCGATTTAAATCAAGAGAGTTTCCGGACCAATCTATAGTAATTTGCCAGTGTGTTCGTGCAGTGTTACAATTTTCACACACTTACTTGGAGTAACATCCATCACAGACAATGGCCATAGGACAATTAATCAACAGTTGAGACAATAGTGTCTGGGTGTGATAAAAATATGATGCAATCACAGATGATGCAATATTTTTCAAGGTCAAACAAATTTCATCATACACCACAAAAATAGATTTATACTACTGCACAGCATTGCAAATGACCTAATCTGTGGAAAAAATAGAAATTGACTACAACCTGTCACTCTAGTGGGTCTAAAACTGACCATATGATGAAAGAAAGGAAACTAAAGCTGCTGTTTCATTTAATTTGCCCAAGGATGTACTTATGTGTGTATGTGTTTGTACATATCATTTTTTTCATTGATACATGTTTCATTAAAATGAGATGAGTATTTTTTTAGCTAAATTTCTTCAAGGGATAAGGAACTGAACATAGAATAGGCTGCACTAGAGATAGTTTGGTCCAACACTGAAAATTTCTACAAAGACAAAACCTAAAAACTCAAGTCATGTTTTTAAATTTCCTCATCAGATTGAGACGCTCATACGGATACTATGCATTGCATGAAACCTATTGTAGCAAAGGAGTCAAATTCAACAGTGTAATGGACGCAACTCTTTCCGTCAGAAAATGTCGGACACGATGCAGCGCAAAGCAATGTACACCGAACACGGGTGTAATGCCCTTCTGCCAATTTCTCCAAGCGACCTGCTTTTATGGAGCCCAGACACACCTCAATAGCATGCGTGTAACGCGACCTTGCAAGACTGCACGAGACTGAATATTAAAAAATCACGGACGCCATCTTGGACCCTTTCTTTCTTTTCTCAACCCACAGGCCAGACAGACACAAGGGCGTTTGGGGGTAAGCCATTTCTATTTTCCCCACACCTATTCAGAAATATCTAAACTGTTAGTTGTAGACAACTACTTTTTCAAATCAATGATTAAAAATGGTAGAAAGAATAAATCACGTAGGTCTTCATGAGGACCATTCTTCTTTGAACCTTGAGAATCGAGTCTACAGAATAACAAAGAACTGTAACAAATAATTGAAATGACATCACTTGAGGATATCCAACAACTAAAATAAATAGCATATGTAACTCAAAGAGAAAATAATGGCATAAGACATTCCACACTAATTCAAATGAAAGGTTAGGAAGGACTCCCCCCCCACTCCATTAATACTGGAAAGAGCGATAACAGTGAACTTGAGAAACCTATTTTTCTGAAAAATTGTTTTTATAAAAATGATTTTAGGAATTTCATCTGAAAGTAACACTGGTTGCTCAGTTAATGAATGCCAAATGTTTCCATATAAGGAAACGGCTTATATTGACATTTCCATTACATGAGATCATATGCTTGGCTTCACTGAGTATAGATATTAGCTGAATGTTTGTGATTGAGTGTTTTCAACTATGTTTCTGGTCATTTTCAAAATCTAAGGTCATGGAGATATAGTGCCTTTCTCATATTCAATACTTTTAAAACTTGGCATTTTGTCATAGACATGTCACTGTCAAGAGAGATTTTTCATTCACTAAAATTTAGAATCTACTTTTTAACAGTTAATATATAGTATACATGTATTATTTATAAGTAATTGTCTTATGTTGGTGGAGATTTTATTGGTAAGTGATACCTGTTTATTGATGTGTGGGGTAGATTGCACTGTGATGTGTAAAGTTGCAGGCTAGCCTGCAGGATAGAGCAGTGGTTGTATGTCCAACCTACATATTTGATGACTGTGTATCTGTGGTTGAAGAGAAAAATAAATAAAAAAATTACTGCCTAGTGCAGGTAGTCAGTCAACTGGCTAGAGACGTCAGCTTTTAATAATGTCACCCCTATTGACTGGAATAAGATCACAGAGTGGGACTTTACAAAAGCTGATGTTTTTTCTTTCTAGCAAGATTTTTGTTCCCTGCCTGGAGAACCTTTGTCATTCAGAACTTTTGTTAGTTGCTGAGAGAGTCAAGCAAAGAGTGCAAGTGAAGACTTGTAAATGAATGAAGATGTATCAGAAAAATGATTCTATTTTATTTAACAATATTTTCCCCAACCATGTCATCAACAAGTAAATAAAATTTGTTTTAAAGAATTTTAGAAAAAAGTAACCCAAACACTGATACTAATATAAACAAAAATAAATACACCATGAACTTATACTATTTACATTATTCAGGCTATTGTCCTCATCTTTGTCGCCATATTTGTTACAGCATTTTGGCCGTTATACGCTCTGGCCTTCTTCAGGTAGTTGGAACGTCAAACTGAACCCTTTATTTCGCACACTGGGATAGACTGTTCTAGTTTCATGTGCCATATTTAATGGATGTCAGTTATCAGTTATCTCCTGTTAATTCCCCTCTCCAAGCTCTCCACTGCCTTAACTGGGTATTGAACTCACACTCTTTGGGTCTTGTCACTGGATCTAACCAACGCCTTTATCCACTGTCCCATGTGTACTTGAGGGACACTGTATGTGCTGCAGTAGAATTGGTGTTTCTTGAGCAAGGTGACCTGACTGAGCCCAACCCACTCCAGGCCTGTTTTGAATTCAGTTTTTTCTTCTCCTAGATGAGTTGCCGCACAAGGTTATAGAACCCAGTCTGTCCTGCTATTTACCCATAGCTGGGGGGAGAAGAAAAGAATTCATACCTTTCCCAAGGTATTAGCACATAAGTGAATGTAATGGATCCAACTGGAATTTGAACTCAGATGTCTGATTCCGCAATTTGAGCCACTATCCATTACTCCACCATGCTGATACACATCACTTAATAATTTTAATAAATAGCTTTTGGATTATTAATATTTCAGATGCAATCTTTACAAAGAAGAGCATAAGAATTTGTAAACAACATTGTTTTTATTTTGGAGGGATTTTTAGGTTCTTGAGTTAATGGCAATAATTTAGTTTGATGTTTTGAAAATTTTATAGTGAAAGATATCTTGGCACCCTTATGTATGTATGCATGCATATACTGGGTGCAGCAGTTTGGTATTTTGAGGACATGACCTTCAAGAGCTCTCTCTCTCTCTTTGACCTATTTTATTAACTTCTCTTTTTAGATAAATATCATCAGACATCAAATTGAACAAAGCCAATGAAAAGGCAACACAGTAATACAAAGCTATCTCACACCCTAACAGTTGCTTGATTTTACATTATCAAAGTTTGAAAGGAGTTGGAAGCTGTTGACAGGGACTCAAGAGGAGCAGCTAAATGCAAAGTGCATACTAATAGTCCTAATAATATCAGAAGACATTTGTATGAAAGGTTCAGAAAATAATTCATAAGAACCCCAAAAAGTTATGTGAGTCAATGCAAATGATCTCAGGATGTCAGAGTGCATCCTCAGAAGAGTTGTGAATGAGGACATCTGGTAAAAATAGTATATGATGCAGAGAGGTCATTTCATATTGGAAGAGACAAGAAACAAGCTAAAATACCAAGAGGCTGGAATTCTTTGGTTTTTCTCCAATGAGTAAATCTTTGATCAAGACTAAAAGGTAAACTAAAGGAATGGTATGTGCCTATACAGAGGTTTGACTAAAATTCCAAGGATAATGCCTAACAAGATTCAAGCAGCAATTTGGTTCAAGTAGGCAACAGCAACAAGTGAGATGTCATGTTTCATTACTTCCTTCCTCAGGGGTCCTCAGAGTCAATGCTACTGTCAATCAAGTGTTGTAGAACCCAAGAATAGACAGTGCATCCTACAGGTCTTCCCAAAAGACTTTCCAACATCTTAAAAGGCTAAGAAAACCCCAATGATGGATATATGACAATCTCCAAGACCATGTTCACTCAAACACATGGCATCTGAGAACACCTGACTTGGATCAACTGGACAGCAACATATAAAATATAGTTAAGAGAGAGGTCAATCAATGATGCCATAACACCATGGAACCTATCTAGTGTGGCATAATCAACATTATATCCAAAATTGATAAAGATCTCATCAGATGTCAACAATTCCAACTCCTTATCAAAGTGGTCATCAATGCTGAAAGTGGATACATTGAATACGTGGAATAAAAGCATTCTGAAGATTATTTGCGCCAATTTGGTATCAAATAAAACTTTTTTGACATGAGCTATATGCATCTTTATCAGGTTACATGCAAATTTCCTCAAGAAACAGACACACACTGTATACACACATATACAATTATATATATATATATATATATATATATATATACACACACACACACATATATATATATATATACACACACAAAATTATATATATATATATACACAAAATTATATATATATATATATATATATATATATATACACACACATAATTATATATATATATATATATATACACACATAATTATATATATATATATACACACAAAATTATATATATATATATATATATACACACACACATAATTATATATCTATACACACACATATATATATATATATATATATATATATATATATATATATATATATATATATATGGACATCTGATAATATATTTTATATATAATTTTGTGTGTAACATT